ATATTCTAACGGACTGTCGACTTGTAGAGGACTTGAGAGTCAAAAATCAAATAAATATAAATTGTCTAAATCAAATAGTTAATAATAGATATATGTATATAAATTTTAATAGATTTTGTAGAATGTTTTTTAGTAATAGATAGCCTGGGCTGTAATAACTGATATATAGTTATATGCTGTAAATAGCTCTAAATTTCTGTTCTTATCTGTGATGTTCACTAATATTCATTATAGGGTAATTAAATCGTTAACTAACTGACAAATATGTTAATAATTTCTATTATATAATAACTAAAATCATATTAATAATTACTGTAAATAAGCTCCCAAACTTGTGTATGCATGCAAATATCCAAGACGGATATCGCGTGCTTTGTAAATGATAATAAATAAATAAATTTGATCAAATTTACATTTTTTTGCTTGTAATTTAACTTTAGTTAGGAATTCTTTAAAAGGCTCATTACACTGCTTTATATTATTAAACTGATACCTTTCTACAGTATAATTTAATTTAGGGGTAAAGTATTCATTAAACTTACCCTTGAGTTCTTGTAACTTATTTTCTTCACCTTCATTCAACTTGAACGTTTTATAAATTTTCTGGGCCAATTGTCCAATCGAAGCCATAAAGATCGCTACTTGGACTTCTTGTGGTTTCTTTTCCAATTGTACAGCCTTTTCGTACCATATAAATGCTTCTATCCAGTAGTCCCATGCTTCTTTTGATGATTGCTCCAAAGGCTTAGGCGGCTTTAAGAATTGGTCAGCCATTTTGACACGAACACTAAATTATTTTAATTATTAATTTTTGCGATTACCGCTGCCACCATGTGACATTAACTTGTCTTCGTAGTTAATTAAAAAACAACAACAACATTAAGCAGACTAAAACTTAATGTATTTATTGTATTACAAACTAAACAACGTATATGAAGGAGTTATTCCTTTTGTTTATATGCGCCAACTTGGCTAATGATTATTATTGACTTTAATATTACTTTTATATTTACATGTAACATCTTTTTTATGTATTAATTGTTTAGTTAGTTTTTAGTCGTGAATTTACTAAACTTGAATCAAAAGTTCGCTGGGGATTTGAGCTTGAATAGACGGAAACCTGCTCGCGACAGATTGGTCAATTCCTTGTAAGAGGCGGGAAGTGACAAAGCTAAAGCCTAACTGAAATATGTCCCTTTAACCCTAAAATTATTGTGAACAATATGTTGACTTTGCTTAGAATTATTAATGAAACTGATTCCAATAATTATTAATTAAACATTATATTTATTGATTTACAAGAGAGAGAACAAAATATAAAAGGGAAACTAATATTGAAACAAAGGAACTTTTTTCTGTTTTGGTTAGCGCCTATTTACCCGTGAGCTTACACACACTCTGTGGTAACAATTAATTAATATATATACAACACACGCTCCCCTGTGTGTAAGCCCTAATCAGCAAGTCTAAGGCTATCTGCACATTTCCGAAGTTTGTCCTTAGTCCACACCATATCTCTGATTGCATCCAACAGCAACCAGTCTGGCGTTTCTTTTATAGATGTCGTCATTTGATGTTTTCTTCGTACTGTAGACCCATTTACTATTGATGACTTTTATACCATTGTTCCTTGGTACTAGTGTCCATACTTTATGCTTCTCTATCTCACTGAGCTCTTCTTCCATTCCTTTGTGCCATTCATTTCTTTCTCCACTATCCAATTGCTTCTTTAAAGTTATCCAGGATCTAATGATCTATTTCCATAATTAAGTTTGCATCATTTCTATATTTTATTCTTTGTGAGCGTCGAACTCCTTCTTTGATCAATTTTCTTTCTTGTTCTTCAAGTCTTGCTTTGTGCCGTTCTTCTAAGATGCTCTTTGTTTCTCCTTTCTTTCTTCTTCCTTTTACGCATCTTTCCTCTATTGGTTCAGTTTGTGATGAGTCATTTTCACAGTCACCACCTAGTTTTACTGAAGTATCCTCCTTAGACTTCATTTCACTCTCTGTGACAGGATTGTCTTCTTTCAAGATAAGAAAGTCTTCAACTATTTCTTCACAATTTCCTTTATAGGTCAAATTATCACAATTAGTATCTTCCTGAATATCATTTGCATAATCAATTCCTCCCTTATCTTCACAAAAATTTACTGATCTGACTTCATGGATTCTCTTTGTCATTATATCATATATTCTGTAGGCTTTTCTTTTAATGGAATAACCAATAAATATTCCCTTTCTACCCTTTGGTGAAAACTTGTTTCTTCTTCTTTTGCCTTCAAGCCAATGTGTCAAACATCCAAATATTCGAATGTGTTTGACCGATGGTTTCCTGCCATTCCATCTCTGCATAGGTGTATGGTGCTTGATAGACCTGTGAGGAGTACAATTCTTAATGTACACAGCTGTAGCAATTGCCTCTGCCCAAAACTTCATGGGTAATTTTGAGTCAATTAGTAAGGTTCTTGCTGTATCTATAAGAGTCCTATTCACTCTCTCTGCGACTCCATTACTTTGTGGTGAGTATGTGGTGGTATGTTGGTGATGGATCCCACTTCTCTTGAAAAGTCCTTCAAATCTAGAGTTACAAAATTCAGTTCCATTGTCGGTTCTTACATCTTTTATTCTAAGACTTAATTCGTTTTCGGCTCTTGCCTTATATTCTTCAAATCTTTCAAAGGTCTCATTTTTTGATCTCAGGAAATATACAAAGATTCTTCTACTGTAGTCATCTACTATAACAAGAAAATAATTAGATCCTCCTAAAGAATGCCATGGCATTGTCCACATAAATCCATATGAATCAACTGCAGGGGCTTAACTGTAAAATTTTCTGTAATATTATATGGCTTCTGCACAAGTTTTCCCATTATGCATGCTTCGCACTCTGGTAACTTTTCAAATTTAAGATCCAATCCTCTTACAATATGTCCTTGAATCATTTTTTTCATGTATTCTTCATTTATATGGTTTAATCTTTTATGCCATAAACTTATATTGCTATTTTTATTTGATAAATGTGTATTTATAACCATGACATTTCCATTTTTTGCTATTGGTACATTTCTTAGCTTGGTTTCCATCATAAACATTCTATCTTTAATATATGCTTCATCAACTAAATCATTCCCTTCATTATAAATTTTTGCTCCATTCTTATTGAAAATAACTGAATTTCCTTTGTTGACTAAATCGTAATCTGACAAGAAATTATTCCTTAAATTTGGTACATGTAAGATATCTTTGATGCGAATATTTTCTTGGCCTTCACTTGCGCATGTAGTAAGTCTCATATCTCCTTTGGCTGTGGCTTGGATAGTTTTGCCCTTCTCAGCTAGGTTGATTTCGCTTTTGTACTCTGTCACATTTTCCATCAAAGTTAGGTTTGGGGTTAAATGTGATGTGCATCCTGAATCTATACACCATATTTGCTTATCATTTCTCCCATTTGGTGAATCTTCAAATTCTTCTGCATATGTTTCAAATGCTTGCTCATTAATTCCACTTTTCATAGTATCCACTAGGTTATTTGAATGTTTCCTACTGTATTTGTGATTTCTATAATCTGGAGTCCATTTCTTTTGATATCCTTGTTTCTGTTTATCTCGAAACCAGCAATCATTAGCTAGATGTCCCTTTTTATTACAAACAAAACATCTTTTTGGCTGAAATTGTTTAACTTTTCTATCTTTAATTCTATATGCTTGTTCATGCCCATTCTCAACCAATTGATTTAATATCATATTTCTTCTTGACTCCTTTTCTCTTAGAATTTGTTGAATCTCTTCAATTGTTGCCTCTCTCTTAGATCGTAAGACAATAGCAATATTTTCATACCTTGGATGTATGCCTCTGACAATATGAAATGAAAGTTATCTTGAGGTAAATTGATTTTCTAATGATGAACTTCTAGCAGCAATATTTTTTGCCCTTGGTATATATTCATCTACAGTTTCATTATCTTTCATTCTAATGTTCTTTAATTCTAAGCCTATATCAATAATTTTATCTTCCAAATTGCCTGTGTATGTTTTTTTCAGTAAGCCCCATACTTTCTTAGAATTTGTTTCTCCTATGAACATTCCAGCTTGTTCATTAGTCAATTTTGTGATGATTATCCCAAAAGCTTCATCATTTTTATCACTCCAAATCTCCCAAGAACTTTTGTCTTCCATATCAGGTTCTGGATCGGAAATTACACATTTAAATAATTTTCTTCCTCTCAAACTGCGCCTATTTTCAACGCCCATATTTGATAATTAGTTCCTGTTAATGGTTCAATTTTTGTTTGGGATAAAAAATTATATTCGGCCATTTTCGCCTTTTGAGCTAATATAAACAAACCAATATATTTTAAATACAAATATATATTTATTTAAATATTGGGTAGCTTTTAAACATGCAATATATAGAAATAATTTAACTTAATCTATATAAATACCTTTAATCTTCTTAGAAGTGTTTCAGTTTACCGATCAGAATAAACTTCTAGCTTAATCTTCAGATTACATATTTTCGCTTTTGAGCTTTATATCAAATAACCACGCTCTGCTACCAATTGTTGACTTTGCTTAGAATTATTAATGAAACTGATTCCAATAATTATTAATTGAACATTATATACTAGACGAATGGCCCGGGCAACGCCCAGATTTTACCCGAGTGCGTATATTTTTTATATTTATTATATAATTCTATTTAATGAATTACATATTTTATTCTTATAAAGATTATCGATTAAAGGTACTTATATAAATTTAAAGGTTCTCATAAAGATTACCGATTTAAAAGTTTATTTTATTTTATTTAAAGAAACATATTTTCATTTAAGTATTGTTATTTATTTTAAAATATTAAGTAATTGTGCAAAACGATAATTGTCTTAAAAAGAAATTGCCTTAAAAAAAAAAGAAACATTCGCGGTGATTTTGTCTTGCATTCGTTTATACAATTATTATATATATTGGCATCATATATTAACTTTATGAACGGAAAAATATGTCCAGGATAGCCTAGTGGTCATGGCATCTGCCCGGTAAGCGGAAGGTCGTGGGTTGACACTTGACCCTTGACACTTTTTTTATTTTATCCATTCTGACCAAAATCTATCTGTGAACTTCACACAGTGAACTTCACACAGACAGAATAAGGCAATTATATAAGTAGATATTGATTTACAAGAGAGAGAACAAAATATAAAAGGGAAACTAATATTGAAACAAAGGAACTTTTTTCTGTTTTGGTTAGCGCCTATTTACCCGTGAGCTTACACACACTCTGTGGTAACAATTAATTAATATATATACAACACTATATTACAAAGTTACAGACACATAATGAATTATTGTTGAGGGTAAACATTTAATATGGATTATGTGATTAATAAATTGAATAATTTTAGTTATAAGTAATAAATTAAATTATAATTGATAGAGGGAAATTGATTTATAACGGTGTCGTATAATATGTATGTGATCCTATATTATCATATATATATATATATATATATGTTATGATTAATTTGTTTTTTGTTGTTGAAAAAGATAGAGAATTGTAGGTGCAGTCGTGAAAAAATAAGGAAATAAATTATTTACCCATCAAGTAGTTTTTTTTTTAACACTTGAAGTAAATTAAACATAGTTATTTTTCATAGTTATATAGAATTTATAAAATGAATTATATATTCGTGAATTAAAAAATAGGTAAGTTAACTATACATATTTACAACAATATTCAAAAAGTGGTATCTTCTAAATCTATGGTCAAAAATGTAGAACAGTCAATGAATGAAAATAAAATATATGTTTTTAAAAATAAAATAATCGCATTTTAGATTATATAATATATATATATGAAGTAATCATGGGGGGGGGGGGGTTACATCAGCCAAGAGTGCCATGACCTTATAAAACTTGGACTGGGTTTCTTAAGCCTCGTTTCCTAATTGTACTAGGCCTGATTAGTTTCAGACTTAGGTTTTTCCTGTAATTCTCCATTCCTTCTATCTGTACAGTTGCTATACTTTATTACAGTCTCAAGTGGTAAAGATTGATGTTATTTGATGTTTTATAGTTACAGTAAATAGCAAGTTATATACATTCACGGGGTATTGCTATTCTATAGCACTTCTACCATTTATTATTGATGTACTAGTATATATATGTGGCAATATAACAACAAGGTGGGGTAGGAGAAATAAGGACACCACAAGTTTGGAAGAGGAATCCCAGACAACCAGAGAGAGAGACGGGCCCGGCAAAGCCGGGCGGCCGTTCGACGCACACAATCACCAACTGTCTTAAAAATCCCAAGGTGTTAACGGACAGCCCCTTTTGCCGCCCCTTGGAATTTCGCTGCTGTCTCAAGTGACCGGACTTCACATCCCGTCTCTCTCTGGGCTGGTTCTAGGTTTGCTTTATTATTCCTGGAAGAGTATATATTATGACATGTGGCCCCCGTTGAAGAAGGCTGAACATGGTTTGAGTATACTTAAAGCTGGAGAAGCCAGAAATAAAGAAAATAATTTTACAGTTGAAATTAATGTTATGGTGACATAGTTTTATGCAAATAAAATTTTGTATAGTACACAGGTAAATATTATTTACAAGCATTTTAAAATCTAAGAAGAGTTTAAAATTTAAGGGATTGTTGAAAATATAAAAGTCATTAAAGGCTATATACAATAACATCTAATGTATTATAAGGGAAATGCTAGTGAAGGTGTGAAAAACGAGAAGGGGAGTCACATACACATGATGAAATTCTGAAGGCCATCAAGACTGGGGAACTCTACACTTTAAGATATTTTTTAGGCGGACATGGCAAGGGGAAACTTGGCATGGGCTTCATATGCTATAGGTGTAGAGTACGAGAAATGAGGTTGAGGCTGGAAATTGCGTGAGCTCAGGACTGAGGTAAATATAGAACTACATACAATGTTAGAATTTTGGCGAACAGAGCGACGGGGAAAATTGCTTTGGGCCATTCTACCTTTTCTATGCAGTTACTCGTGTAGCGAGTCCGAGGGGAAATGTCCCGTGTGTAGGTGAGGAAGTCGAATGGACTTATATTTAATTTGAGAAGATAAATAGTTCGAAAAGCGAAGGTAGAATATAGGCGAACAGAGCGGGGGGAAACTTGCTTTGGGCCTTCTACCTTAATTATTTAGATACTACTGGGTTCTAGTAGTGAGTCCGAGAGAAAGTTCTATGGGTTGGTTCCGAAAATAGTTTGGTAACTCCGGGATCGTAAAGTCTCGTTGTCAGGTTAGTAATTGGTAAAGATTTCAGGGGATAAGTGGTTCAAATATCTTTGATCATCTTGATTGTAAGTGTAGTCATGTTGCTTTCGTGTGTTAATAGCCGGTTTAGTATGGATTAGAGTATGATTGAAGTGTTTTTATGGGAAATTGAAGGTATTTTGGGGTTGATCTCGATCATTTATGGGCGGTGAAATAAATTGTTCATTTTCAGTATAATGTTTCAATTTGTTGACATGAATTGTATCTGTCTCACGACTTAGAGGTTGGTTGGAGCGGTTGATCCGTACGATTTGAGGGGAAATTATCTCCAGTATTTCATATAGTCCTGAGAAGAAGGGTGGCAGTTTACCGGTGTCTGGATGGTGGTATATTTTGGCCAAAACGAGATCGCCTACTTAAAAATCGGAAGCTCTATGTGTTTGGTCGAATCTCTCTTTGTCGCGTAAGTGTCGTTCGTGTGTCCTTTGTTAGGTCAATTCTCTGGCGTCGTCGATTTTTGGGTAGTTTTATACATGATTCGATAGTTCTAGCGGGAAAATACCTAACATGAGGTATGACGGTGGAAACCCGGTCACAGAATGTGGGGTATTGTTATAAGCCTGAAGGACCTGAGGTAGTAGTTTAGTCCAGGCCGTCTTAGGTTGTTGGAAGCGCAACAGTTTAAGTTTGCCAGTAATAGTGGCGTTTAGTCGCTCACTTAATCCGTTGGCCTGAGGGTTGTTGCTTGTCGTGAGAAGTTGGCCAATGTTATGTCTAATTAAAAATCTACGAAATATCGGAGAGTTGAAGGCAGGAGCTCTATCCGTCAAAAGTCGTTTAGGAGAACCAAAATGCATCACCTTTTTGATTACTTGGGTATAGGTGAGAATGCTGGTGGACCGAGATGGAAATGCCCACGCGTACCGTGTGGCATGGTCCACTACGACATGTAAGAAGGTCTGAGAATTTCCATATTTCGCGAATCCAGAAATAGTATCTAGTGACATTAGTTCGTATGGCAGGACCGCTGGAGGAGTTGTCCCAATTCTCCGTAGATAGGTCCTTTTGGTGGTTTGACTAATTGGCATATTGAACAGGCTCTTACATGTGTCCTGATGTCATTGGTCATGCCGTCCCAATAGTATTGGACTGCGATCAGTCTGGTCATCTGCGAAATGCCGGGGTGATTGAAATCGCGATGGGCTGGTTGTAGTAGGGTGCCACGGAGTGATGGTGGAACAATTATTTTAGTGACACCCCGTCGTGTGATGGTCATAAGGTCTTTGTCATTGAGGATATACCTTGTGTCTCTCCGTAATTCGCCCTGATGATCTTTTATTTGACCTGTGGATAGAAATCCGCAGGAAGGGTTACGGGAGAGTAGGTCCGTCTCGTACTGACGCGAGCCCTTGAGGTATTTGACCTCATAGTCGTAAGCTGAGAGTCGAAGGCTCCAACGAAAGAGGCGTCCGGTGGGGTCTTTTATGGTCTTTAGCCATTATAAGGCATGATGATCCGAGTAGATGGCAAACCTTGTACCTAGGAGGTACACTCGGAATTTGTCAACGCACTCTACAATGGCTAAGCACTCCAGTTCAGATATAGTGTAATTACGCTCATAGGAACGCAACGCGCGACTGTAATATTGTACAGGATAGATGTTACCGTCAGGATGTACTTGTTTGAGTACACCTGCGATGCCCTGCGTGGAAGCGTCGCAATAGACCTGGCATGGGAGCCCTTCTTTAAATAGTTGTAACACAGGTTGTGTGGCGAGGTGTTGCTTCAATTTATCAAAGGCTTGTTGACAATTCGGGCTCCAAAGCCATTTGGCGTTTTTTTTTAGTAATTGATTTAAGGGGTGGCGAAGTCTCGCATATTCAGGGATGAATTTATGATATACGTTGACGGCCCCTAAAAATGATTGTAGAGTTTTAATGTTGATAGGGGTTCTAATGGCGTTTATGATTTCGGTATTTTCAATGTTAGGTGTGTAAGTCCCTGCGGTGATGTGGTAGCCGAGAAAATCTATTTCATTTTGATAAAAATTACATTTTTTAAGGTTAAGCTGGAGGTTTTCCTCTAAACAGAATTTAAGAAAAGTCGAAGGTGGGTAAGGTGTTGTTGTGAGGAGTTAGAAAAAATAACGAAGTCGACATAATAATAGGCTATGAAAGAGAGGTGGTGTTTGTGGATCAACTGGGTAATCACACGTTCGAAAATTTGGGGTGCTGATCTGAATCCAAAAGGTAAGCGTTTAAAATTATATTGTCTTTGTTGAGACCTCCGCGATGGGGATTTGATAGTACGCATTGCTTCTTTTTTCTTCATATTTTAGTAGGTATGGGAATTTGTTTCCCGGCCAGGTCTTATCCTGTCGACTTTTATGTGGCAATATAATAAGGTGGGGAAAGAGAAAAAAGGACACCACAAGTTTGGAAGAGGAATCCCAGACAACCAGAGAGTGAGAGATGGGCCTGGCAAAGCCGGGCGGCCGTTCGTCGCACACAATCACCAACTGTCTTAAAAGTCCCAAGGTGTTAACGGACGGCCCCATTTGCCGCCCCTTGGAATTTCGCTGCTGTCTCAAGTGACCGGACTTTACATCCCGTCTCTCTCTGGCCTGGCTCTAGGTTTGCTTTATTATTCCTGGAAGAGTATATATTATGATATATATATATACTAGACGAATTACCCGGCTTCACCCGAGATTTCTCCCGAGTGCAATTTCCTTCATACTGAAAGTACATCAATAATAAATAGTAGAAGTGCCAAAGAATGGCAATACAGAAGTAACACATAAACCACAGGCAAAAAGTGTGTGATGGCAAAAA